CATCAAGTGGAGAAAGATGCCTATGTTCTTTTTTTTTTTTTTTAATCACAAGCGGGTGTTGGATTTTAGTAAGTGGCTTTTCTGTATCTATTGGTGTGATCAAGTGATTTTTCTTCTTTAGTTTATCTGAATTACATTAATGGATTTTTGACTGTTGAACCTGCCTTGCAAACTTGGAATAAATGTTTGCTTGGCCATGGTGTATAATTTCGTTGTTTTACATTTGGGGTCAATTTGCTAATATTGTCTTGAGGATATCTGCATCTATGTTCATGAAGAGAATTTGGTCTGTACTTGTTATTACTTATATTGTTATCTAGTTTTATTTATTTACTAGTGCTGCTGGGGATCAACTCCAGGGCCTCCTGCAGGCTAGGCACGTGTTCTACTACTAAGCTACACTCTCATCCTCTGGTTTTGGTATCAGTGTAACGCTGGCCTCACAGAATGAGTTAGAAAGCATTTCCTTTGCTTCTGTTTTCTGGAACAGATTGCACAAAATTGGTACCTCCTCCTTAAATACTTAGTAGAATTCACTAGTAAAACCATCTGGATAAATGCTTTGTTCTGGAAGCTCAATTAATATCAATTCAATTTCCTTTACATAGGATTATGCAGAGTATTATCTTTGAGTTTTAGTAGATTCTCTTTCATAGAATTGGCTTGCTTTGTCTATATTATCAAGTTGATGGGCATAGAGTATAATATTTCTTTAATCTTCGTTAATAATGTTCATATCAGCAGTGATGGTCCCTCTTTTCATTTCTGATATTAATAATCTTTTTCTTCTTTTTTCTCCTTGTTTAAATGGCAAGAGGTTTATGAATTTATCTTTTCATCGAATTTCCCTATTATTTTCCTGTTTTCAACTTCATTGATTTCTACTTTCATTTTTTTGCTTTGGACTTAATCTAGTCTTCTATTTCTAACTTTCCAAGGTGGATGTTTGGATTATCAATTGTAGATCTTTCATGTTTTCTAGTATCTGCATCCAGTACTATAAATTTCCCTCTTTTGCTGCATCTTACAAATTTTGATAAGTTGTATTTCATTTTCATTTAATCGAAAGTATATTTTGAGACTTCTTTGAACCATGTATTATTTAGAAGTGTCCTGTTTAATCTTCAGATATTGACATTTTCCAGTTATCTTCATTATTGATTTGATTCCACTGTAGACTGAGACATACTTTGTGTATCTATTTTAAAAATTGTTAAGGACCTCTTTATCAATCATGCAATGCCTCTTGTAATTCCCTAATAATTTTCATTGCTTGACGTTGTATGAAATTAATATAGCTATTCCAGCTTTCTCTTTTTGTTTTTTGTTTTGGTAATGGGGATTAAACTCAGGGGCACTCAAGCACTGAACAACATCCCCAGACCATTTTTTTGTATTTTATTTAGAGACAGGGTCTCACTGAGTTGTTTAAGGCCTTGCTAAATTGCTGAGGCTGGCTTTAAACTGGCAATCCTATCTCAGCCTCCCAGCCACTGGGATTACAGGCATGCACCACTGCACTGGGCACCAGCTTTCTTTTGATTAGTGTTAGCAGGATGTATCTATCTGCCTTTGCTTCCTTAACAAAATATGATACACAGCATGACTCAAACTGCAAAAATTTATTTTCTCACATTTTTAAAGAGCAGAAATCTGAGATCAAGGTGCCAACATAGTTGGTTTTTGATGAGTGTTCTCTTCCTGATTTGTAGATAGCTACCTTCTTGTTTCCTCACATGGCAGAGAGAGCAAATCTCTGCTCTTATAATGACATTAAATGAATGCTCCATTGACATGACCTCATTTAACCTCATTTACATTCCAAATGTGCCATCTTCCAATAGTATCCACACTGGATATTAAGGCTTCGACATATGAATTTGAGGAAGGCACAAACGTTCAGTCCCAAATATTTGGTACATCTTTCTCTATTGCTTTACTTTTAATCTATCTGTATCTTTATATGTATTTTTAAAGTGGCTGTCTTGTACAAAACATACAGTTGATTCTTTTTTTTTAATTTACTCTATCTCTGTGTATTTAGACCACCCACATTTAAAGTGATTAATATAGATAACTATCTGCTATATTTATTGTTTTCTATTCATTGCCTTGCTATTATTTCTTTCTTCCTTATTTGCATTTCTCATTTTTTCTGCCTGCTAACCAAACATTTTACATGATTCTGTTTTATCTTCTCTCTTACCAGGAGTGAACAGATTTATAACAATCCAGAATTATGCAAATTGGCCCTTTGATTATTACAAAGCAAGACTTATTAACATGGATGTTATAACATTCTTGATACAGTCAAATGGTAGGACAGAATCATCATCATAAAATATGAAAAATAATAGCATGTATCAAAAAGTGTTACTTCATAGTATAGGGAACCTACATAGGAAATGTGATCAGAGGAAATTTCAGCTTTTTTGGTAATGTCTACATTTATTTTTTATATAACAGAAAGTAAGTTAAAATTTTATCTCTACAAGCTAAAAGGTGTGTGTGTGTGTGTGTGTGTGTGTGTGTATAGGGGGGTAACCAAAACAAGGAGACAAACTAGACAAAACTCTAAAAATATTAAAGATAAGCTAATAACATTCAATTTTTACTTTACTAATTGAAGTTTCTGAGATACCATGTAAAAAAAATCTAACAATGATCACAGAGTATTTGGCATGCTGCATTTGGCAGTTGTCAGTATACTGGCATACTCATATAAACTTTTAGAAAAAAAATAATGTCTATACAGACATTGCAAGCATAAGCATTACATAATTTTTAGGCTGGGGCTGTAGCTCAATGTCAGAGCATGTGCTTAACATGCTTGAGCCCTTGGCTTCAATTGCCAGCACATTCACCCTACCAAAGAAAAGAAAAATTCCACATTTTTAATGTTTTCACTAACAAACACCAAAAGTTCCATTTAATTTATCATTCCTAATACAGTTATTATTAATCACTTATTAGCAGTTATCAGAAAATAAGTTGGGAGAAGAAGTTGTATACTGAAAAATAAAATTCTTGGTAAAGGCAGCAGAGAAGTAAACTAAAAGTAAAGTAAACTAAATAACCAAAAAGTAAACCAAGGGAAAAACAAAAGAGTAGGAAATATTAATACAAAGGTATAATGAAATAAAATACAGCATAATATTAAATAGGCTCTTATGCCACCATATTGAATTTCCAACCAAAGAGTGACATGATATCTCCCACATCAATCTAGGCCAACACACTAACCAACAGCAAAGTAATTCCATGGTAGACTAAAACCAATTTTTATTTTTAAGTTATGCCAACATCAGTATTTGGAATGAGAAAATTAGAATGAGGTACTACTTTAAGATACTACAGGCTTGAGCTTATTCACAATAGCTAAACTGTGGAACCAACCGAGATGCCCTTTCAATAGATAAATGGATAAAGAAACTGTGGTATATATACATAATAGTACATTATTTAACATTAAAAGAGAATAAAATTATGGCGTTTGCAGGTAAATGGATGGAGTTGGAGAATATCATGCTAATCAAGTAAGCCAATCCCAAAAAAACCAAAGGCCAATGTTCTCTCTGATAAATGGATGCTGATCCATAGGGGCGCGAGGGGGCATGGGAAAAATGGAGGAAGTTTCATTGGGCAAAGAGGAGGGAGGGAATGGGAAGTGGACACAGGGGCAGGAAAGATGGTGGAATGAGATGGACATCATTACCAGAGGTACATGCACATATCATGCGATGCTACATCGTGTACATTGTGTACAACCAGAGAAATGAAAAGTTGTGCTGCAATTATGTACGATGAATCAAAATGCATTCTGCTGTCATATATACCTAATTAAAATTAATTAATTAATTAAGTTTTAAAAAAAGATATTACAGGCTTGGGCTGGGATTGTGGCTCAGCGGTAGAGTGTTTGCCTAGCATGCATGAGGCACTGTGTCCAATCCTCAGCACTACATAAAAACTAATAAATAAAAATAAAGGTATTGTGTCTGTCTACAACTAAAAAAAAAATTAATTTAAAAAAAGATATTACAGGCTAGGCATCCTGAATCCAAAAATCCAAAACTTGAAATGCTCTAGCATTTGAAATGCTTCAGATTTTAGATTTTGAATTAGAGATGTTCAGCCAGTAAAAGTCTATAAAAATATTCCAAAAAATACTTTGTAGTCTGAAACATAGCCCTTATCCCAAATAAGGCTACTCAATCAGTATCATACTTAAGAGTCAATGAAATAACAAATTCTAAGATGTAAATTTTCTTAAATCACTGAAAAGTCAAAATAGAGATAAGGTTCTCTGCATTTGAAACATGTTTTACAACACATTCAAAACCATAAAAAGCTTAAAAGGCTGTAAATTCAGATGGATTATAAATCAAGACTAATTCTAGTATAATTTACTTTGTAGTTGAAATTAAAAGTAGGCAAGTAATCTTGTTATGTAAGAAGCCTGGGCTAATAAAGTAGGATGTAAAACAAGACTTGCCAGATAAATAACCAAGTTGTTTATTGTGTTTATCTACTCTAGTCTGTAATTTGCAACACAAAGGACTTCACAGACAATAGTACCACTTTGAAGAATTGTTGTCAGGCCTACACTGCAAGAACCATTATTTTCCTCTGTCCAGTAACTTGGAGAAATAAAAAGTTGCTCATTCCTTCCCCACACAACAGGAGTGTTCTAGAAAGGTATTTTATAGGTAATGCTTCTCTAAAACGAAGTTATATTCTCTAAAATACAAAAGTACTTATATTTTTTACAGGACACAGAATATATAGAATACTATTTGCTCATTTTTAAAAAATGAAGTAATTAAGGTAAGCAAAAAACTTCAATACTATACAGTATAAAAATATAAAAGCACACATAAATTTCTCTTAGAAAAACTGATGCTAAATAGGTTTATAATTCTTTAGTTTAGCTTGAGTCCTATATCTTAATTTACCTGTGAAAAAGTCTATCTATAAAAATATTCCATATTACCAAAAGCTAGAGATTTTTATAGAGAATTTTATTTACAAAAAAATTAGAGTGTTATGAACATAATTTTGTAGCAGAATCAAGAGCAGATTAGTATATAATGTCCCTTGGTATTTAATACATATTAAAATATAGTTTTCATATACCAGCTTTTGCCATTTGTATTTTCATATTCCGATTTTTAATAAATCTAGAAATAAGGCAATACACATGAAATAGATTTGCTAGGTATTTTTAATTATGTCACTTTCTCCTTGGGATATTACTTCAATTTTATAAACATCGGCAAAATAAATGATCTTTCCATTATAATTCCTAAATATAATTTTTAAATACAAATGAAACTTAAAATGCATAAAATATACTGCCATAAAATTGAAAAGAAAATTATTATTATTACATTAGGAATATCCTAAATTAACAAAGAATTTTCCAAAGAACAACGAATGAGGCAAAGTACATTAATGCTTTATAAATCTACAATATTTTTTACTTGCTTTCTTTGTACAGTTTAAAACACCATAGCACTGAATGAATAAGAAAGGGCCATTTTTAAAATGAAGAAATGGCAATACATGTCACTTAAGGATAAAAGAAAGATGGATTATTATTTCGATTTGCAAATAATATTCTTTTATTCAAATAGTCCTGTTTCCATTATCCTTAGATGACAAGATTCTTTCCTGTTATGAAAAAAGAACATCCTCTTATTGATGGAAGGCTTCTAATCTCAATCTGGTTGGATCTTCTGGATGTCTCAAAGCAATTCCATTACGCAGCAGCAGCTCAATATAAGGTGGCCAAAAGGAATCACTGATTTTGACATATGGATCATGTGGAACATCAAATAATCTATTTATAAGAATCTAGAAAAAAAATATCATCCAAAATATACTTTACTGGGGAAAAAATCTACACAGCTATAATAAAACAAAGTTTTCCACCAAGGGATGCTGACCTCTTTTCTCCCTGAACAACTGTTTATAGCATAACTTTTATGTACTAGCTTAAATAAATGATTTGATTTTTTAAATGACTATAAATATCAGTGAATGAAAAAAGTTTTTAAAATAAATCTTTCTATCTTAATTTTTTAAAACATTCCCCAAAAATGCTTTAGAAAGCTGGTACAATTCTCCCTCTTTTAGGATTAATAATTTATTTAGAATAAGAGAAGAATCTTAAAAATTCAAATTATTACTCAATGGTAAAGCACTAGACTACTAGACTAGCATGTGCACAGCCCTGGGCTTGATCCTAATAAGCAAAGCGCATGTGCACGCAGACACACATACCCCCCACACAAAATATACAGAAAGTTTAAATGAGAGTGTTAGTATTTGTGAGTGGGTAAAAGAAATTGCCAGTTTCTACACCCTCCAAACATCTACACTTCTGATAAATCTTCAGAATAGTTGATTTTATCATCATTTCCTTTGTCTTTGATTTCTTTATCAAGGATGCTAAGCGATTACAACCAAAATTGAGAAGGTTCAAGTTTTTGTATTAATTATGTAGTCTAAAACTTTTAAATTAATTTTTAATTTGTTTTAATTAGTTATACACGACAGTAGAATGCATTTATACACTTTGATAAATATAGATGGGATATGATTTCTCATTTGGAAAGTTTTTTCAGGAAGCAAAAATTTATAATACTTTAAATACTAATGTTTTATAAAGCATGGTCAAAAATAGCTGGGCTTGTGATAGTGCAGGACTGTAATCCCAGTGACACACCAGGCTAAAAGCCTGAGGCTTTCAAATTTCAAGGCCAGCTTCAGCAATTTAGACAGACCTTGCCTCAAAATAAAAAATAAAAAGGACCGGGGACGTAGATCAGCGGTAACAAACCAACTAACAAAAAAACACAGTGAAAATTTCAAAATGGAAATTAATTGTAATTTTGCCTCCTCATCTACCCCCTGGTGCCTTCACAAATTATGAAATCACAACTCAGAAAGATTAAAGGATTCTATGGGGGCACACAATCAGTGGCAGATCATGAGTTAGGCTTAATCTCTGAATTGCTACACCAAAGCTTCAAGGGAAAGATGCTATTACTTTAAGGAACATGGAAAAGAAAAAGCATAATTTTAACAAATAAAGTGCTAGAAGAGTGAATAAAATTAACCTGCCAAACTCTAATTTCATATTTTATAATAGCAATATCTTGATTCTTAAAATAAAAATTTCAACTAGCATTAATTTGTCTATTTCAAGTCATATTCTAGGGAAAAAAGCTTGTGGCCTCATTACTTTTAGGAATCTTGATAAAGAATTAAACATATTCCCATTAAAGCACTTTGAAAGCTTTGTGAGTTGTAAGTGTGACTCATTGGTAGTGTGCTTACTAGCATATGTGAGGCCCTGGGTTTGATCCCCATCACTACAAAAATAAAAGTTTTCTTATTTTTCATTTTTAATTTAAATTGTATTAACTAAAATTTTAGTAGACACTAGAAATGGCTGTTAAAAATTCAAATTTAAAATGAATATGTACATTAAATTTTGTTTTGCACTGAATAACAGTTTTAAATATTGGTTACTGTTATCACTAATAATATAAATCTCAGGAACATACTTAGTTTTCTAAGTTTTACACTGTATCTCACAGTACAGTTTGAAAATTTTACACTTGTACTTCACAGTTAATACTTGTCAATATTTGCTGCATGAAGTCACAATTTTTATTTAAAAATTTTAAAACAACCACGCTAACAATATGTAATAGTTTTGGTATGAACTGGAATAGCTAGAAATAAGTTAAAAGACTACAATTATAAATCCAATAAATATTTGCATTTTGGTTTTCAAAGCAATGATATTGTTTATTAAGAAAAATCTAAAAAAAAATATCTAAAAAAAAAAAGAAAGATCTATTGAGGCAACTATTTATTTAGATAAAGATAGGGACTTTAGCACCCAATTCATTAAATCACAATGAAACATGTTTTCTGAAAACATTCTTCAAAAAACTTACTAGTGTTAAAAAAAAAAAAAAGGCACACTTTACCAATTGGTAAATACACTATTCATAACTATTTTATTTTCCTCTCTGCTCAATTGCTGTGCATTGTCAAATCTAGATTTTCTAAGGAATTTAATATATTTAAGAATTTGGCTAAGTTCAGAAACATTTTTTTTTAAAGAGAGAGAGAGAGAGAGAGAGCAGTTTTTAATATTTATTTTCTAGTTTTCGGTGGACACAACATATTTTTATTTTTATTTTTATGTGGTGCTGAGGATCGAACCCAGCGCTCGGCGCATGCCACATGAGCACGTTACCGATTGAGCCACATCCCCAGCCCTAAGAGAAACATTTTTTTAAAAAAGATCAAAGGTATTTATAAAACAAAATAAATGTCATACGGAAAAGGTTGAAATTACTCAGTCTTTACATTATGACAAGAGATTGATGCTATTTAAGGAAAATTGTACAAAACTTTTTATGACTCTGTGGAAAGAATCTTTAAGCTCACTTCACATATTTTTGAGTTATAGAGGTGTCAATTTAAATTCTAACATTGTAGCAGCACAGGACTTTTCAATGTATATGCCAAATAACATGATATAATTTTTAAAGTCTTTAACTGTGATAAAACTTGGGAATGTGACTAAAGTTAAGACTTAAATTTCACATTCTTAAAAAATGGTAATATTTTCCTTAATACTATATGGAAGAAACTAATTTTTCAGCAAAGATAAATTATTATGAATATATTTAATAAAGATTGATATAGGGGCTGGGGTTGTAGCTCAGTGGTGGAGCCCTTGCCTCACACATATGAGGTACTGGGTTCAATCCTCAGCACCACATAAAAAATAAATAAACAAAATAAAGATATTGTGTCTATGTATAACTAAAAAAATTTAAAAAGAGATTGACATATACCTAAAGAATTAAAGTAGTATTTTCTCTTTTTGAAGCCTGAGTATATTAAAAGATAGCATTAAAACAACAACAAAAAAAACTATACAATATGCTTACCTCTAGTATTTCATGCAGTGTTATCAGCTGTTTGGTTGATTCTTGAATGTTTTTCTTTTAGAGAAATGTGAATAACAAACAATTAACATTTTCATTTTGCTAGTGGCAGAATGCTAAACTATAATATGAGGTTTTTAAAAATTATTGTTTCTTAGTTACAATGGTACATGGTAACTGAAATCAAACTCATGATTGGATGACTTAAGAAGAATTCTGAAACAAACTTTTATTGTAGGTTTGCTTTCAGACATTTATTTCACCCTGCTAACTTCTGAACATACTATCATTGAAAATGCCAAAGTGCTTTCACACGTTTAACAAAGATATGTCTCCCTCATTCTTTGATGATGTTGTGTTTTGAAACAGTACTGGGAATTGAATTCAGAGCCTTGTGCATGCTAGGCAAGCACTCTGCCACTGAGTTACACCCCCAGCACTCATTATTTAGTGATTTAAACCCAAGAACAATATGTTGTATATTTCTCCTAAACATCTTCTTATTAAACTTGGCCCAAGGTCCTGGACACCCAAAGCCCAATTTTGCCATCCAATATATTTACCATCTAATCCTCTTGTTTCATACCATTTGCAAACCTTGATAGCCATGTATTCTACCTCTTCATCCAAATTGTTTAAAATGTTCAATAGGACAAATCTCTAAAGGAAACTGCTAGAAATCTTCCAATAAACCCAATCAGAAGAACTGAGTTCAGACATTCTATTAATTACAAGTCACCAACTATACTGCCAATACTTTACAGATACCAGAGATTGCAGGGCATGGTGATACACACTGGTAATCCAGGCACTAAGCAATTTAGTGAGATCCTGACTCAAATTAAAACATCAAAAGGACTGGGATGTGGCTCAGTAAGTGGCCCTGGGTTCAATACCCACTACAAAAAATAAATAAATAAAAGATACCAAAGATTATCATGGAATGTTTATAAGGCCTTGTGAAAATATAAATATGTTAAAGAAATAATAAAATAATACTAACAAAAATAAATAAGATTTCTAGTAAAGACATCAGAGTAAATTTGCATTTAAAAATCTCCTTATATCTTGCTAAATGAAAAAGAGTCATAAAAATCAGTATATGAGTAAGCAGTGGTGAAGGCAACACAATTACAGAATTGATTAATAAATAAGAAGGAAGCCAAAAAAATTCTTTAAAAGAAGCAGAGCAACAAAAGAAGTGAATGTTTCAACATAAGAGGATAAACAATAGATATAATTATAGAAATTTTTCATGAAATATGAGCTAAATCTGTCTAAAGAAAGAACATATCATCTTCAAATAAAAACTGATATTGAATGATCAGCACTGTGACATATACTTTTAAGTTACTGAAGCTTGAAGAATTAGTCAGCTTTATAGTCAGAAGCAGCAAATCATCTAGAGTCTGGCCTCAGATTTCTACATAGTCCATTCATCTTAGAAGATATGGAGCAATGCCAAATCTTGAGTTTCAATTAAAAAATGTGTGAAACATTGAGTATAAAGACAACAAAATATTTTTAAGAAGACAAAGAATAAAACATTCAGAAATTTTTCTTAAACAAATTATTTGGGAAGAAAACAAATAAACCAACCATTAACAAAACCATGAAAGAAAGCAATGGATCAAAAGTAAGAACTAAAAAAATCAGTGGTACTAGATAGGTACTGAATCCAATACAAAACAGAATGAAAGCTAACCATAGACATGAATGATGATTTCTTAGCACAACATAAATACTATAAACCCACCAAAGTAAAAACAACGCAAAATTGGAATAGAGAAAGAATGTTAATTTTCTTTCTTTTTTTTTTAAAGAATGATTTTTTAAAAATATTTTAGTTGTTGAGAGACCTTTATTTCATTTATTTACTTATATGTGGTACAGAGAATCGAAACCCGTGTCTCACATGTGCTAGGCAAGTGCTCTACTACTGAGCCACAACCCCAGCCCTAATTTCCTCATCTTTAATTCTACCTAAAATTGAGAAATGGAGTTAAATAAACTCTTTTTTGTTCAATTTTTTTTTAGTTGTAGATGGACACAATATTTTTATTTTATTTATTTATTTTTATGTGGTGCTGAGGATTGAACCGAGTACTTCACACATGCAAGGAAAGTGCTCTACCACTGAGCTACAACCCTAGCCCTTAAAAAAACTCTTATATTATGTTGTTTTTCATGATTTATTTTCCTTGCATTAGAAAGATCTTTCCAGAACTCAGACTATTCGAGGCAAAAAAATTTTTGAGTTCAACAATTCAACACTTAACTATTTTTCACTCTTCTATCAAATCTACATTAAAATTACATTTAGCATTTATTTCATATTAGCAAGTACAAAATTCCACTGATTCAATCATCCATCAATTTATATTTTTATAAGCCTATGTTTAGAAAGATGTCTCAAATTATATTTACCTAATGCTAATGATGGTGTTCACCTCATGTTAAAGAACTGAACTGATGGAGAATGTTTTTAGCTTTCTTTTTCATGTCCATTTTTGAATTATCAAGTCCAATGTTGTAGAATGAGTATGTCTCTAGAAATTCATGTGTCAAATCCCTAATGCAACTATATTTGGGAACAGAGTCTTAAAGAGGTAATTAATATGAAAATGAGGTCATAGAATGGGACCTTACTCTGAAATAACTGGGTTTTTTGCTTGTTTTGTGGTACTGGGGATCAAAACCAGAGCCTTGCCTATGCTAGGCAAGCCCCTTACTGCTGAGTCACATCCCAGTTCATGGCTCCTTCCTTTCTAAGAGGAAGAAACACTAAGAATTCTCTTTTCTCCTTGTATACAGAGAAGAAACGAATGTGAGAACACAATGAGAAGGTATAATCTACAGGTCAGGAAGAGAGACCTTACCAGGAACCAACCCTGACAGAACTCTGATCTTGGGCTTCCACCTCTAAACTGCAAAAATTAATTTGTTGCTTAAGCCAAGAAGTCTGTGATATTTTATTATGGCAGTAATAATAAATATAGTATTACTGCAGGCCAGAAAGAGAGACATAGAAAGAGAGGAGGGCAGGGAAAACAGAGGCACAGATGGTAGACAGATAGTAATCTATCATTTTACAACATGTATCAATAGTTCTTATGTCATTAAAAACCCTTAATGGCTTCTAGTAATCAATTTTTTGCATTTCAGGATGCCTCACACATGTGGTTTTATTATTGAAGAAGTTTAATAGTTTAATAATTTTTAAAAACTAAAGTTGAAACAAATGGGGAGACTGAAATTAGAAAATCAGTGAACTGTTACAAGATTAAGATCAAAAGAATCATGACCTTCACAGAATGGTCTTTCAATAATTTCCAAAATAAATAAATATAAATAATAATGGCTAGAATGGAAGACATAGTCCATAACAAATATAATGCCCAGAGATGATTTCAAAGAAGAATGCGAAAAATAAAATGAACACAGATTGCAATTATAAGAACTTTTTCTTTTTTTCCTGATATTCTCAAATTCATTCAATAAATATAATTCTGCCTTTTTTTTTTTTTCAGTACAACTGCTGGCAAGCACAATACCACTGAACTATGTCTCCAGCCCTTTAATAAATGTGAACTCATCCTGGAATATAGCTCAGTGGTAGAGTGCATGCTTAGGATATGACAGGTTTGGGTTTAATCCCCAGCACCAAACAAAAAGAAAAATAAAAAGAAATTAACTCAGAAGATATGTAGACAGAGATATACAGGTTTTCTAAGCAAAGCAAATATAGCAATATAAGGCCCAAAAAAGTGAGAGGTCACTGCATAACTTGTTTGGCTATAGTAGTAAGATTGAATGGATTCACATAAGAGATAAATAAAGAATGATTCATGGGGGCTGGGGTTATGGCTCATCTCGGTAGAGTGCTTGCCTAGTATGTGTGGGGCACTGGGTTCAATTCTTGGCACCATATATAAATAAATAAAATAAAGGTCCACTGACAACTAAAAAAAAAAAGAACAATTCATGATGAGGCTGAACAGACAGATACACTCCAAAGTATAAATCCATTATTCTAAGTAATTTATAGACTTCATCCTATAGGGAGCCAAAAGTTTTATAATAAAAAATGATTAAACTATATTTACATTTTAGAGAAACTATTCTGGTACCAGTTTTAATACCAATTCCAATTTCAAAGTTTTGTTTATTTATGCTATATAATGTATTAAAGAAAAGGAATTAGAGTAGTCATTCACAATCTTCTGTCACTCAATGATTTACTTGTGTTTTTGGAAAAAGTTTATTTTATCATAAATTCTATTCAAATAATTATTAACCTAGATTAAACTAACAATTTTCAAACATTCTTCTGATTTAAAAAGAGGTATACATTCATGACAAATAGTAAAAAAGCAAACAACATCATCAACAACAAAAACAAAACTCACCTACCAGACCTTACATTTATGGTATAAATTATATTCAAGTCATAAAATCTAGTCATCTGTTTTATTCATTTAAAAATATGAGCATTTCATGAACTCTAATGGTGTTCAACAAATCATTTTTAAAAGCTGAACTTTTCATATCATATGGATATAATATAAAAAAATTTAATCAATCCCATTTTTTTCCCCCCCACAGGGAGGTACCAAGGATTGAACTCAGGGGCATTTGACCACTGAGCATTCTCAGCCCTATTTTGTATTTTATGTAGAGACAGGGTCTCGTTGAGTTGCTTAGTGCTTTGATGTTGCTAAGGCTGATTTTGAACTCTTGGTCCTCCTGTCTCAGCCTTCGGAGTTCCTGGGATTACAGGCAGGCACCACCACACACCAGCTTAATCAGTCCCATTTTATTGAACAAGTAGGTGGCTTCTAATTTTTCAGTAAATACGTGATGATGGCATATTTCAGTACATTTATCCGTGTGTATATCTTCTCACTATATAAGAAAACTTGCCTTTGGACCTACCTAAAACAATTTAAAATCTACATGCATATCTTCTCTAAAACTTACCTTTTTCTTTTTAACATTCCCATCAGGCAGAGGAAAATGGTCTTCTAGAAACTCACCCAAGGTACTCAAGAGTTTCTCCTTGAATGCTTTTATATTAAGCATTTTAGTTTTCAGCTCACTAAAGATTCTAATAGATAAAAAGAAAATTAAGAGAAACAATTAACTGGTAAAATGTATATATATATGTACCTGGTTCTTCATAAAGTTAATAAAAAACTTTGCTGAGAGCTAGGGTTGTAACTCAGTGGTGGAGTGATTGCCTCAAACATGTGAGGCACTCAGCACTCAGCACCACAAAAAATAAATAAATAAAAGTATTGTATCCGTCTAAAACTTCAAAAATGCTGAAACTTCATTGCTCCAACAACATAACTAGTTTTATGAAAGATATATTTTCTTTATAACATGTAGGGAAACTAATAGTACAACCCAGTCAAGTCATTCATAAAAAATCATGTAACTAATAATCGGCAAAAGTTAAGGTAAGACCCACAATTCCTGGTGAGATTTGTCTTCTTTTCATCTATAGTTAAGGTAACATGAAAAAGAAAATACTTTCTCCTATTTAAAAAACTTAGAACCACAAAATTACCTTGTTTCAGAAAATGTCACAAACTGATTTTTCAATTCACTGTAAAGTGCATTAAGAGATTCCATTATTTGTTGCTGTTCATCCAACCATTGTTGCTCCCTTCAAACATGAAAACACAGATTATGGATTTTAAGTGCCAATTCAATACATATCAATGATTAATAGTAATTATAATATAAACATACCTTTCTAAGTCTTCCTTTAATTTTTCATTCTTTGACTGAATAGTAGATAGTACCATTTCAAGATCATGTCTTAATTTTTGGAACTAGAACAAAATAATTCAAATTAATCTCAAAATAGAAAGGGTTGGGGATATAGCTCAGTAATAAAGCTATTAAAAGAAAAGAAAGAAAGAAAATGGGCAAATGAAATGTTACAAATAATTTTATATCAATAGATTTGACAAATTAGAATGAAACAATGCTTTGAAAGACATACTATCAAAGCTCATTCAGAGAAGAACAAAACCTAACTAGCCCTAAAGAAAATGAATTTGTAGTTAAAAACGTTCCTGGATTAAAAGTTTTATTCACCTCAGAATTTTTATTTAGTTTGTAAGGAAATGCTAGCCCAGATGGCTTCACCTATGGGTTCCAATGCTTGAAGAAAAAACAATACCAATTATATACAAGCTCTTTTGAAGAGGAGAGGATCCTTCTCAATTCATTCTATGAGGTTGTTATCATCACTCTTATATCAAAGCCTAATAAAGACATCACAAAAAAACCAATATTTCACATGAACATAGATATAAAAAGATATGTAAAACTTCAACAAATTAAAATCAGCAATAAATAAAAAAGATTAATGTTATGATAAGTGGGATTTATCCTATGTTCAGTTGATTAAGTAGGGGACTTAATTTAATGATGAAAAAGCAAATGCTTTCGGATAAGACCAGAAGCAAGACAAAGATGTCCATTCTTACTGACTACATTTAATATTTTACTGAAGTAGTTCTATGACAGTAAAATATGACAATAAAAAGTTATGAAAAGCATCTAGAATGGAAAGGATAATAAATCTCAGATAATCCATGTAGAAATCTGATTTCAAATGACATGTCAATTTAGAAAATCTTACAGAACTATAAAAAGCTACTAGAATAAAAAGATTTCTCAAGCTCACAGGATGTAAGATCAATGTAAGATCAAGATTGATCTTAGTACTTAGTAGTAATAAAAAACTGACATTTGAAAGAACCATTTAAAGAGCATCAAAAATACTAAGCATACAGTTCAGCTTGGAACCCAAGGTGCCCTTCAATAGATGAACGGATAAAGAAAATGTGGTACATATACACAATGGAATATTACACAGCCATAAAGTGAATGAAATTATGACATTTACTGGTAAATGGATGGAACTGGAGAATATTATGTTAAGTGAAATCAGCCATTCCCCAAAATACCAAACGCCATATATTTTCTCTGATATGCAGATGCTAATTCACAATAAGGTGGGGGTGGTTAGGAAAGAATAGAAATATTTTGGATTAGACAAAGGGGAATGAAGGGAAGGGATGGGGAATGGGAAAAAAGATTTTAAAATATACTAAGTGATGAATTTGACAAAAGATATGTAAGACCTATTTGTTGAAAACTACAAAAATATTGCTGAGATGCTTATTTTAAATATCACATAAATGGAGATCTGCATTCTGACTAAATATGTTAAAGATGTCAATTCTCCCCCAACTTAATTTATAATGAAGGGGGAAGTTTAATTAAAATTTCGGCAAGGTTTTTATGGGATAGAATAAAAAGCCACCTCTAAAATTTAGATTTGTTTAAATTAAACAATTTTGAAAACAACAACAAACTTAGAACACTCATACTACTTAATGTGAAATATTGTTTTTTTTGTGATGTCTTTATTAGGCTTCAGTAGGTAGCCAAGATAAAGTGGTATTGGTTTAAATACAGAAATATGGAACAAAGGAACAGAAATATCCACAGTACAGGATGAAGAACAAATGAAGTGTCAGAAATAGGTATACACATTTCTACAGTAATTCCTCCTTATACAGCTTTCCTTTTCTTTGGTATCAGTTACGTGGGATCAACTGTGGTTTGAAAATATTAAATGGAAAATTACAAAAATGAATAGCCCTTAAGTTTTAAATTGCTGCTTTGCATATTGTGATGGGTTCAGGAGCTTCTGAATGTCTGAGTACGTGAAGGTTCAAGGAGGGAGGCATAAAGAGGGTATGGAAGCTTCATGTCCCTTCCCATGTGCTGCAAAATCTGCCAGAAAAGTGGTTTCTGGTATGGAGAAATCTCCATATATTTTGGTGACCAGTGATGCTGTGTTGTACTGCATAATGAGAAAGAAAAAAAACAAAAAACACCAGTTTCTCCTCTCTACCCTTAGAAATGATGCTTCTCATTTCCATTGGAAATATCAGAAGAATCTATACTGTGCATACTTCCACCAGTATTCTGTTTAGGATTACTCAGGCACTAAGAAAACTGAGTCTTTCTCTATAGCTTCCCTCTTTTCTTTCTGAATTATCACCAAAATTATCTATAAAGGTTTCCTCATGGTGGCGTAGGCTTTTTCTAGAATACACTTAAAAATTCCTCAGCCTTTACCCCTAACCCAATTTCAAAGCAAATTCCACATTTTTGATATTTATTAGAGTACCACCCCACTTCTCAGTACCAATTTTCCGTAGTACTTTTGGGCTGCTATAACAAAATACTATAGATAGGGAAGCTAAAAAAAAAAAAGAAAGAAAGAAATTTATTTCTCACAGTTCTAAAGGCTGTAAATACAAGATTAAAATGCCATAGCTGGGTGCAATGGTGCACACCTGTAATCCCAGTGGCTTGGAAAGCTGAGGCAGGAGGACCGTGAGTTCAAAGCTAGCCTTGGCAATTTAGCGAGGCCCTAAGAAACTCAGCAAGACCCTGTCTCAAAATAAAAAAAATTAAAAAAGGGTTGGGGATGTGGCTCAGTGGTTAAGCACTCCTGGGTTCAGTCTCTGGCACCAAAAAAAAAAAAAATGCCAGCAGATCTGGTGTCTGACAAAAGACTGACTTCTTGCTCACATGGTGAAAAGAAATGTGGTTCCTTCAGCCACACAAAAGAGCATTAATCTTATTTATGAGGCTCAACCTTCAAGACCTAAATACTTCCCAAAGTTCTCACCTCCTAGTACCATTACATTGGGAATTAGATTTTAACATATGAACCGGGATGTCACAAATTTTTAATCCATAGTAGAAGAACAGATGCATGTGTGAAATCAATTAATTATGTTTAACCTTTTATTTTTATTAATCGAGTTTAAACACCTAAAAATGAGATATACAATTAAGGTTTACATATTAATCACTAATATTTGCAATAGTTCTGATATAAAAATTGACTTCAAATTCAAATTTTAAAAACTATTTAGTTCAATAAAATATAATCAAATAAAAATATGGTTTTAGGGTAATTTCATACCATTTTTCTTATGTCATGAACTAATCTAAAATATTCTGGTTATAAATTATTTAAGTTTACTACAAATTGATAAATTACTTACCTCTTCTGTTCCTAATGTTATCAGAACATCCTCTGTCAGGGGAGTTACTACAAAACCAAAACAAAATTATACATATATTTAGTTAACTCTCAAGAATTGGTTTTTTGGTGTTCAAGATAACCCATTCCTTCTGTATATTACAGAATGCTTTATGAAATATGTGAAGCATTTGTGAAATTATTTTTGTTTCCCATCTTTGTACATATAACCAATTATATATACTTTTAGATAAATGTGGAATTTTGTTTTTAGTGTTTTTCCCCCAACCCTCAAAAGCAAGTTTAATAATCTATAGTGTGTTCCTATATGTAGGCATATAATCCTAGATACACACACGCACACACACACAAATTTAGGCACACATATATTAAAAGGTTTATTATTTTTTTATCACTGCTGATTTTACAAGAATAATATCAGCTACACATGGTGGTACACACCTGTAATCTGAGCAACTCAGGAAGCTGAGGCAAGAGGACCACAAGTTTAAGGTCAGCCTCAGCAACTTAGCAACGCCCTAAACAACTTAAAGAGACCCTGTCTCAAAATAAAAAATAAAAAAGGCTGAGGATGCAGCTCAGAGGGAAAATGCCCCTGGGTTCAATCCCCAGTACCAACAAAACAAAACAAGTAAAACCGCACAAGAATAATATCGTATTACACACATTCACTCCATCTTGAATTCACTCAACAAAACTCCCATGAAAACCCCTTCCATTCATATGTTGCAGGTCTAATTCATCCTTTTACTGACTGTATAATATTCCACAGCAAGAATATACCATAACATACTGGGTGATTCTGTTGACTAAGCATGAACTTTGCACTTAAATTTTAGCTACAATAACAAGAATACAGCAAACACATTTTTTAGGTATTGGTGCTTTCATTTCTATAGAACATATTCCCAGAAATGGAATTTCACAGAATGAAATGTTCAATTTCATTTTTGGTAGAGAATATCAGACTCCTTTCTTAAAACATATCTACAAGTAATGAATTGAAAACGGCAAAAGAGAGCTGGGGATATAGCTCAGTGTCAGAGGATTTGCCTATCATGTATGCAGCCCTAGTTTCAATCCTTACGGTACTGCCACCCCCCCAAAAAATACACCCAAAACAATAAAAACAAACCAGCAAAAGACAAACTCTTCCATAAATTTTGCCAGTCAAATGAAATAGCAATGGATATTAATTCTGTAAAATTTGTGTTAAATTCATACATTAGAAAAGTCTACCTTTCCTAATCAAGTGTTATTTGAAATTTTTCAAATGATACGCTACTGAAAACTTTCAAAGGTATCTAGTTATTTCTTACCAATAACTAGGGAGCATATTTTTCAAGTATAAACAATAGCTCTGAATTGCATATTCAATGCAAGTATCCTTCAAGAATGAAGGAATAAAGACATTTTCAAGTCCTTTGACTCTCAGGTTTAGTATTCTTATTCTATTCCTTTTGATGCTGCATATTAGGTGATTTTTTATTTTTATTTTTTTTGTTATCATTATCCCTTAACACACACACCCTATCCAGGTACTACTGAATGCACAGGCTGCTCTGTTGGCCTCATACCCAGAATTACCAGTCCCATAGGCTGCCACATTGGAAGAGTTTTTAAAAAATGTTATATTCTTAGAATCTGTCATACTGTACTTGTTGAAATGATTCTTTGAATATATGTTTAAATGCTATTCTTGGCTTTCTTTCCATCTTCCTAGTATCAGGAGAATTCAGGAAATTTCAAGAAAGCCAAATGGAGCTTGTAATTCTTCTTGTGATCATTAAATTGTCTACAAAAATACAAATCTAAAAATTAAAATCTTACTTTCAGGTGTTTCTTTGTGCCACTGACTGAGTTCAGCAGTTAAACATTTCACTTGCATAATCAATAATGATAGCTAAAAAAAAAAAAAAGATATTTAATAGATATCATAGCTATTCATAGATAAAAATGTAGACCATTTTAATACTTAAATATTAGTTCCTAACATAAATAGCTAACAAAAGTAAAACTAAACTATGAACATTTAACACTATAAACATAATTCTGCTTTAAACCATGCTAATTACAGCATCTTATATGAATAATATAGTATTAAAAATGATAAATTCTGCTTCACCATTTAAACTAAAAGAATCTAAGTGCATTAAGATAATTTCCTTAAAAAAAAAAAATAAAAACTTAAAATAAAAAAATGGTCCAGGCACAGTGATGTCTACCTCTAATCCCAAATATTTGAAGTATAAGGCAGGAGGATCCCAAGTTCAAGGCCAGCATGGGCAACCTCAGTGCCTTAGCAAAGAGACTCTGTCTCAAAATAAAAAATTAAAAGGGGTAGGAATGTAAATCAGTGGTAGAGCACATGTATACCATGCCTGGCACCCTGGGTACTATTCCCAGCCCTAGTACCACAATTTTAAAAAAAGTTATTTATTGTCAACATTTTTAGATAAATTTGCCTTAAATTTTTTTTTCTTCTTAGAAAAACTACAACTACTTTTAGCTGATAGCTAAATACATATTTAAATACAATTTAAATACATAAATCAAAATAATTATAAAATAAGATTGGTCCCACAAGCCACACATAAATACCAGCTTTACTCCACAAGTTTGCAGCTTGCAAACTGTGTATTTCTTAGCCAAATATAAATCAGGGCTAATGTGGTTTTGGTAGTAGGTGATCCCCGTCATTCCAATTTGATAATCTATGTGAAAATCTGTTGACTGGTTAGACTTTAATATTTTAAAGTCCATGTATGCTTAAAGTTAGATCTCAGAGCGTTTTTAATCTTCTATTTGTAATTCCTATTGGTACCCGGACAGATTAAAAATTCACATTTCAAAAATAAAATGGATTTTACTAAAGTATTTACATCACAAAGGTACCAACTACTATCTTTTATAACCTACAGTAGCTCAAAAACCCTGCTCTGTATCATAATATTGCCTGTCAAAATACATCAGAAGAGGAGTTTTTAAAAAAGAGAGAGAGCATTAACAAAATTTTAAATCTTTTGTGTGTGTTTTAATGGTTTTAAAAAAAATTTAAATTTGTTTTATTAGTTATACATGACAGAATATACTTATGCTCCTTGATATATCATACATAGATGGGGTATAATTTCTAATTTTTCTGATTTTACATGTTGTGGAATCACATTGGTTATGCTGTCATATATGTACATAGGTAATAATATCTGTTTCATTCTGCTATTTTTCCTACCCCTTTATCCCCGCCCCTTTCCTCCCTTTACTCCCCTTAAAGGGATATAAATAGCCTATTTTAAATCTTTAACAAAGCAGAGTTTAATATTTTCCTTATAGATAATCAATTAGGAATGTGAAAAAAATTTTTGTGAAGTATCAAGTGTATAAATGTAGTTTAATATTAGTAAGAGATAATAAATTTTTAAAAAGCAGCATTAAGTTAGGTAAAACTATTATATGATGATAAGGAATCCATATCACTTCTGTTCAGCTTAAGTTGAAATATGTGAAATTATTAAAATTTATTTTTAACTCATAATAAACCGTAATTTCATGTAGTTAAACCCATACACATTGATGATACTATATTGATGAAGCATATGTTTTAGTGTACCAAAGCCCAGCAGGCAAGCATACAAATAATTTCTCAACTTGCTATAAAACTGAACAACTTTTTCTAAAAATAATAGTAATATTTCTAAAGTAATTTAATTACTAAAATTTTCTTAAAGTATCTAACTTCCTACTTTAGAAAATGGGCTTCTAATAAAATTTTGAAGATGAAAGGTATGCAGAAAAGAATTAACAAAGCAGGATTAAAACTATTTTTAGAAAGATCTCCTTATAACATTGTCCTTTGGCTGGCAATGAGAACTTGGTTAGGCTTCAAGAAAATAGTTCCTACCACCCAAAACATTCCTAAGAGAGGCTTAACATACCTAATCTGTTTATCTAAAGAATGTGGTTTATGAGAAGTTGTCTCTTCAGGTCCTTGGCCCATTTATTCATTGGGTTATTTGTTTTTTGGTGTTTGGCTTTTTGAGTTCTTTATATACTCTAGTGATTAGTGCTCTGATGGGTGAGGGGTAAAGATTTGCTCCCAAGATGTAGGCTCTCTATTCACTTCACAGATTGTATCTTTTGCTGAGAAGAAATTTTTTAGTTTGAGTCCATCCCATTTATTGATTCTTGATTTTAATTCTTGTGCCACAGGAGTCTTATTAAGGAAATTGGGGCAGGGTCTCTGATTGTATTCCCAAGTCCTTGATGTACAATCAATCAACAAATACATGAAAAAATGTTCATCATCACTAGCAATTAGAGAAATGCAAATCAAAACCACTCTAAGATTTCATCTCACTCCAGTCAGAATGGCAGCTATTATGCATACAAACAACAATAAGTGTTGGCAAGGACGTGGGGAAAAAGGTACACTCATAGACTGCTGGTGGGACTGCAAATTGGTGAGGCCAATATGGAAAGCAGTATGGAGATTTCTTGGAAAATTGGGAATGGTGCCACCATTTGACCCAGTGATTCCTCTGCTCAGTCTATACCCAAAGGACTTAAAACCAGCATACTACAGGGACACAGCCACGATCAATGTTTATAGCAGCATAATTCACAATAGCTAAACTGTGGAACCAACCTAGATGCCCTTCAATAGATGAATGGATATAAAAAAAAATGTGGCATATATACACAATGGAATATTACTCAGCAATAAAACAGATTAAAATCATGGCATTTGCAGGTAAATGGATGGAGTTAGAGAAGATAATGCTAAGTGAAGTTAGCCAATTCCAAAAAACCAAATGCCGAATGTTTTCTTTGATATAAGGAGGCTGATTCATAGTGGGATAGGGAGAGGGAGCATGGGAGAAATAGATAAACTCTAGATAGGGCAGAGGGGTGGGAGGGGAAGGGGAAGGGCATGGGGTAATTAATGATAGTGGAATGTGATGATCATTATTATCCAAAGTACAGGTATGAAGACACAAATTGGTGTGAATATACTATATATACAACCAGAGATCTGAAAAATTGTGCTCTATATATGTAATAAGAATTGTAATGTATTCCGCTGTCATATATAAATTAAAAAAAAAAAAAGAAAAAAGAAAAAACAATGTGGTTTATGCTGAACACCTGCTTTCCTTCTGTTAGTCTGGTATTTTTGTTACCTGCCAGATAGGATATGCCTATGTGACCAGCTTCCACTGAAAACTTTGGGAAGAGTTTCTAATGAGGTCCTCAGATAGACATATTGTCACAATTAGACGGAAGAATTGAACAGGTCCTGTGTGACTCTACAAGGAAAGGACTCCTGAATTGTGCCTGGTTTCCTGTGGATCTCACCTCATGTACCTTTTCCCATTGTTGATTTTACTCTGTATCCTTTCACTGTAATAGAACAAGTTCACTATATACTGAGTCCTGTGGGGGTCCTCCAAGAGAATCATCAAGCTTATGAGTGGGCTTGGGGGTGCTCAACACAACAGGATAACACATATTGTATATTCCGACACTACACATTTACAGCTACACAAGTACCCCCCTCAGACCCAGTGTTTGGCTCACTGCATGAAAATTATTTATAAGCTTGTAGGTCCTATCTCTAATGATTCTGATTTAGTGTATCTCAATTTCTACAACCTAGGAACCACATTTTCCAAGGAAGATGATGGTTTCCTTATTACGTAGTGCTTTTTCAAATGCAATATTCAGTTTATTTATCCTATGCAACACAGCTGCATACTTATAGTTAAAAAAATTTTTTTAAGTTGTAGATGGACATAATAACTTTATTTATTTTTATGTGGTGCTGAAGATCAAACCCAGTGCCTCACACTTGCTAAGCAAGTGCTCCGTCACTGAGCCATTACTCCAGGCCAACTCAAAAAGTTTCATGAACACAAAGAGGAACCCGGTTGTTTATCACTAATTCTGACATTAAGAATCTAACAAGTACTTTCAAAAGTGACAAATTAATTTTTCCCTTTATTTCTTTTTTATTTTTAATTAAGTATCATTATAATCATGGACTTTTATTTTTTATATTATTATATTCAATTAAAGTTATTATTCATTATAATATCAAATTTGGATAGCAGGAGCACCCTCAAATGAGTTCTTTTGTCTTTTGACATTTCTCTACCAGTTTGGGGGAACTTTCATTGGAATCATCTGTACATTTGATTCTATCCTTAGAATTTTTATCATTAAAATGTTTTTAATTTCTTATATGGTAAAATACATCTGTTTTTTCTTTTATACAAAACAGACTTATAGTATTAGCCAAGAAGTTTTCCCCCATTCCTGGTTTGCAAAAATATTCTCCTAGTTTTTTTTACAGATTTTTTTTTTTTTTTTTTGCTAATCCATCAGGAGTTTATATGGTATAGAAGGGAAAACAGAGGTCCCATTTTATTTTCCTCCACATGGATATCTAGTTGTATCACTATAACTCATTAACTAATTCATTCTTTTATGACAGATTTGAACTACTATATTTTTGTCACATTTTAAATTCCTTACCTGATCCACTGATCTATTCCTAAACCAATTCCACAATTCTTTGATTATTTCAACAGATCTAAATCATCTTCTAAAGCCTACGGTAAAATCAATAAAGGTTACATATAGATAGAAAAATATATTTGGCTATTTTACCTAACACGGAGTAGGACTGTCTTTGTTCTATTTTTTTTTTTTATTGTTTTAATTTTTAACAGGGTATCACAATAGCAATGAACAAGCAATTTGCTCAACTGCTAAATGAATGTATTTAAAAGACAAATAATAAAGAAAATGCTTTCTTATTTATAATAGCTTGATTCAGTGTTTGGTTTTTTTGTGTGTATGTGTGTGTGTGTGATCAGATCCAGGAGTGTTTTACCACTGAGTTAAGCTATATCCTCAGCCTTTTTCATTTTAAGACAGGGTCTCTCTAAACTGCCAAGGCTGACCGCAAACTTGCAGTCTTCTTCCCATGTCACTGGGATTACAGGTGTGCGCCACAGCACCTGGCTCCTTTTTTTAAATTTTTGATGGAATCTTGCTATTTTATTTTATTGATTAAGAATACAGGTATTAATAAAGTAATTATGTTTGAAGTAAATATAAACATATATACTTCTTTTCCAAAATACAATGAATTGTACTTACCTATTTTCAGGGAAAAAAAAAAAAGTTCATACCTGAGCATTTGAATTAGTAAGTGTCTCAGTTCCAGTAAGTGATAATTTATTCTGACACTTGATTAAAAAAGAGAAACAAGTCAGATAATATAATCCATAGATAATTTCCTTCTCCTCCCCTTTTTTAATCAGTCCAATATAATACTCCTTTAAAACAACATACAGATGTCTAACATCAGAGTTTTCATTCCTCACTTTTTAAGCAAAACAGTGAAGGAGGCAGCCAAATAGGTTCCAAAGTAAATATATCAAAAGGAAAAGGGGATACCAGACAAAAGAAAAAGAACAGAAACCAATAGCTGTGGTGACTTATAAACTACAAAGTGGAAAAGGTAGGGAGGTGGGGAGAATAAGAGAAAATACAGTAGAAAATAACAAAGTAGGTAAGAAGTTAGTTAAGATCATAAAACAAAGACTTCAGGAGACACTGTTCTTGTGCCATTAAAAAAAAAAAAAAATTCAGGGGCTAGGGTTATGGCTCAGCAGAAAAACGCTCGCCTCACATGTGCAAAGCCCTGGGTTTGATCCTCAGCACCACATAAAAATAAATAAATAAATAAAATAAAGTTATTGTGTACAACTACAAAAAATATTTTTAAAAATCTCAAACTATTAATAATAATAATAAATCTGAGAATTAAAAATGAGTAATTTAAATTTAAAATTTTATTTTTGCTTATTTCTAGTTGCAATATTTTTCTATAGAAAGTATTTTTATTTTGTTTTGTTTTGTTTGTACTGGGAATAGAACCCAGGGGCACTTTACCACTGAGCTACATCCTTATTCTTTTTTATTTATTTATTTTGAGACAGAGTCTCACTAAATAGCTGAGGTTGGCCTCAAACTTAGAATCCTTCTGCCTCAGCCTCCTGAGTAGCTGGGATTACAAGCCTGCACCACCAGGCCTTGCCTACAATTATTTTTAAGTCTAAATTTATACACTGAAAAAAAATTTTAAAAATTTTTTATACAAATTATGTAGTAGATACATTAATGATATAAGAGTTCCAAGAATTTATGTTTAAAAATTACTTTTTAAAAAAGAAATAAGAAGAGAGACCCCACAGAGCCAGGCAGAGTGGCACATGCCTATAATGGGAGGCTGAGGCAGGATAATCACTAGGTCAAAACCGGCCTCTGCAAATTAATGAGGCCCTAAGCAACTTAGCAAGACCCTCTCTCTAAATAAAATATAAAAAAGATCTAGGGATGAGGCTCAGCAGCTCAGAGCTCTTGGGTTCAATCCCTGGTACCAAAAAAAAAAAAAAAAAAAAGAGAGAGAGAGAGAGAGAGACAGACACTACTAGTAATTCACCCTACTCTGAACCTTTACTGGGAAAAGGATGCTAAAATTCTGTGGCCTCTAACATACAATATATTATTTTAAGTAGAACAGTATTTTTACCAAGATACTGTAGTATACCAAAAGCAATTCCCTCACTAAAACAGAAAATGTATAGATGCTTCAAACTCAACAATTTCTAAATGAATTCACACTTTCACTCATAATTATGTATTCTTCCCATTTCTATACTCTGTTTTAAGGAATAACCTCAAAACCAGCCAAAGGCCCAAACCATGAATCTGAAACCATCCAAGATAATTCTCTCCAATTTCACAGTGATTAACCTCCTTAATATTTCTTGAACCTATTCTATTTGTAGTAACACTATTTAGGTCTTCACTTCTGAATAGGACTAGAACCTCCTAAATGCTTTTTTTTTTTTTTTTTTGGTAGGAGGGATTGAACTCAGGGGCATTCAACCATTTAATCAAGTCCCCAGCCCTATTTTGTATTTTTTATTTAGAGACAGGGTCTCACTGAGTTGCTTAGAGCCTTACTTTTTGCCGAGGCTGGCTTTGAACTCAGGATCCTCCTTCCTCAGCCTCCCGAGTCATTGGGATTACAGGCATAACCCATCACGCCCAGCCCTCATAATAATTTTCTTACTCTGCATATCTGATCATGTCACTTCAGTGTTTATAATCCTGGCTTCCCATAGTACACACTCAACAAAATTCTTCATGTTCTTGTTCCCAGTTCCAGTCTCAGTCCACAAATCTTTCTTTGTTCTTATTTGCATTTTTCATTATATTCTCCTTAGAGTACTCTTAACTCTTCAAATTTTATACATTTTTATCTTTCTGCATTCTATGCCTGTCCTACTTTCACTGGCCAAGTCTTACCTATCCTTTAGAAATGAAATTCATGATTACTTCTTATAAAAATTATCCATGACTCCTTCAGCCTAGGTTGAGTATTCCTTCTAAGTATAGTTTTGTACTTCAATATTATGTATAGCTATTCCAAGATAATAAACCTAAGATTAGGAGTTGTCATAATTTTTCTCTTTCTATAGCTTATCTATCATAAAGCTTCATGAATGAATGCTTATAGGTCTAAAAACTATATAAATATTACCATATATAATAGTTCCGAGAAACTAGCAAAATTCTATCTTTCCAAAGTCTAATTGTTATTGAAATTGATTTAACTCTTATATTAACATATATATCACCTTTATCTCTTGAAACTTACTTCTTCCATGTCTTTCCATATTTCTTCACATTCTTTAATAAGTTCTTCTTCAGTATCTGTAACAACTTCCACATCTGTAGTACTATCGGGATCTAGATCTTGCTGACTCACTGACATGTGGATTGTGATTTTTCTTAGCCTTATAAGAAAAACTAAAATAAAATATATTTATTCATTCAACAAATATTTGAATATTTGTTACCTGACAAATACTCATCTAGTGCTAAAAATTTAGCATAGACTTGAACAGACAAAACCCTTCCTACTAAAAGGGAAACACTAATACAATACTGTTCGAGGGAATATAAATTAGTACAACCATTATGAAAAACAGTATGAACAATACTCAAAAAACTAGAACTAGAACAGCAATTCCACTAGTGAATATATATTCAAAGGATAGAAAATCAGTATTTTAAGTAGATATCTACAGCATTAGTTACAGTAGTGAAGATAATGGAGTCAACCTAGGTGTCCACCAACAGATAAATGGAAAAAGAAAATGTAGTGCATATTCACAACAGAATATTATTCATATATAAAAAAGAATGATCCTTGGATTCAATCCTCAGTACTGCAAAAAACAAAAATAAAATAAAAAAGAATAAAATTCTCTCATTTATGGAAGCAGGAATAAGGACACTATGTTATATGAAATAAGTCACATAAAGAAAGACAAATATCACATGATCTTGCTTACATGTGGAAACTAAAAATGTTGATTTCCTAGAAGTAGAGCAGAATAGTGATTTTCAGGGTTTGGGAGGGTAAGAAGGGGATAGAGAGAGGATGTTTAATGGGCACATGGGTACAGTTGCATAAGAGGGATATTTTTTAATGTTCTATAGCACAGAGCACAATAAGTATACAGATAACAATTAATTGCATATTTCAAAATAGCTAGAAGAATTATGAACATTCCAACACAAAGAGATGATAATGTTTGAGGTGATGAATATGCCAATTACAATTAGGGTACTAATATTATATACGTACACTGTATACAGGTACTAAAGTTAAGAGTTTTGTTTGTGGGAGTGGGTTGCTAGGGTTAAACTCATGGTCTCATACTGCTAAGGACTCTGCCACTGAGCTACACCCCCAATACATGTATTGAAATATCACATCATACCCTATAAACATAAACAATTATCATGTCAATTAAAAATTTTAAAAAGACCAAAAAAAAGAAAAAAACCATTACCATTTAAACTGGTAGGGAACAAAGTTACTATGAACTAAAAAAAGTCCCTCCCACATGGAGCTTAATTCTATTAAGGAAAGCAGACAATAAATTAAAAAATATACAGTATAGAATATGAAATTATTTCAAGTGTCATGGAGAAAAGCAAGGCAGAAAAAAGAATAGGGAAAGTCAGCTTAAGATAAAAGTACAAGGGGCTGGGGTTGTGGCTTAGCAGTAGAGCGCTTGCCTAGCACGCGTGAGGCACTAGGTTTGATCCTTGGCACCACATAAAAATTAAATAAAGGTGATTGTGTCCACCTACAACTAAAAAAAATATTAAAAAAAAGATAAAAGTACATGATACTCTTTTTGAGGGGAAGGCAGTACTACGAATTGAGCCCAGCTATAACTATAACTTCAAACCTTTTTTAAAATTTGAGACAGTGCCTTGCTGAGATGCTCAAGGCCTTGCCAAATTGCTGAGGCTGGCCTCTGACATGCAATCCTCCTGCCTTAGCTTCCTGAATCACTGGGATTACAGGTGTGTGGCAACACACCTGGCTCAAAATTCATTTATTTTAACGGGAGAGTCAGCAGAGTATCAAGAGCATAGATGCAGGTAGGTGAGCAGATATGCTGGTAGGAGTTTATGGAAGCTCTGTCTAAATTGTTTCTTAGTAAAATCATAACTAAGGTTACTAGCAGTGAATAAGGATGGGGAGAAAGGATTACAGATATAAGGAAAGGAAAAGAAATGTATAAAATAGATATGAGAGAATGTGTGAGGATAAGATAGTAGAATTACTGGCTAAGTGTTAAAGGCCACTGGGCTGTGTGTTTTCCTTCACAGTGAGGCAACACAGGTACAGACAGAGACAATTCAAAGAATGGCCATGAGAGTGAGTAACTAAGACAAGCTGGAGATTATAATCACTAGAGGAGAGGAGGTCAAGAAAGAGAGTCAAGTTTCTGGAAGGATCATCTATAAGGATATTCAAATCACTAAGAAATATGATAGTGTACAGCAAACGATGACAGTAAGCCAGGAGCTAATAACATTCAAGGAATGAGGAATGACACAACCTTGCTAGATGACAGCCAAAAGGAAAAGCAGCAGGCACTACAGTGTGTTGGTATGAATTTATCTTCTGACCCAGAAATTCTGTTCCTAGGAATAATCCTACAGATAGTTATGTTTGTATAAGTCTACACAAGTATGCCTATAACATTATTTGTTTAAAAAACAAAACAAAACACTATAAAGGTAAATTCTACAACCAGACTCTAAGTTTAAATCCCAGTTTTGATACTTACAAGCTGTGGGACCTTTGACAAGTCACTTAAGCTTTCTATGCCTCAGTTTCTTATCTGTAAAATTAAGATAATAAATATTACATACCCCATAGGGTTATTATGAACAATTAAATAACTAAATGTACATAAATCTCTTAGATCTGTAGCTAGCATACAAAGAGCTATATCAGTATTCGAAGATCGTAGAAATCATTTAAATAACTTGTTATATCCAAAAATGTTTACACTAAATACCCTACCTGCTCTACTTAACATACAATTTAAGCTCAAAAAACCAGTCATTAACAATTTAAAATATTTAATCAAAAAGTCAAATATTATATAAATATTTGTCTAAAACATACCTTAACTCAGAAATCAAGTGCAAATTGATTTCTCCACACTTTGTGGAATACTGATAATTAAAATACATTATCAGTATGCAAAAGTAATGCAAAACTGTGTGTGTACATGTGTGTGTATGTAAGTGGGTAGATATTCAACAAATTAGAGGGCTTAGAAATTAAACATAGTATTAGAATACAAATAAATAAAAACATTTATTCATGAGTTTGCTCTTTCTGCATTGGAAGGATACAAGGAAAAGTCAGTTGGATGCAACCTGGAAGACCGCCCTCACCCAAACCAGAAAACACTGGCACACTGATGCTGATTTCAGACCTCCAGCCTTCAGAATTGTGAGAAATGAATTTGTTGTCTATTTTTAAAAATACACACACACAAACACATTAAGGGTTTAACTTTATCCTTTTTACACATTTTGTATCCCTCAACCTATCTAAGAATAGAACAAGTCAACTTTTCGGGATCCGCAGTTAGGATTAAAGCACCTAATTTATTGAAGAACATCACTGTATTTAGGAATAATATTATGTCATACCAACTTAAATTTGTACCACTAATGGGGAAAAGATTAATATATATGAAATAAATGTAAGTGCTCATATAATTCAAAGATGTATTCATTTATTTAACAAAATGCTCTTAATGTGTACCATTGGTTAGACACTGTAACCATAGCTGTGTAGGTGAGAAAAATCTCTTTGTGGAGCTTATATTCTCATAAATGATTAAATACAAGATATAACTTCAGGTAGTTAGAAATGCCATGAAGTGGGGGTGGGGATGTAGCTCAGGGTAAAGTGCTTGCCTAGCATGCATGAGGCCCTGAGTTCAATCCCAGCACCCAAAAGAAGTGCCATGAAGTGGCAAATTATACAACACAGGCTGCAAATGCTTTCAGAATTCAGGATAGTGAAGGTTGGATAGACCTACCTAGAAGAATAAAGAAATTAGTACATAAAACCACCGAATAAATGTTAACCAGCTCTCCACCATTATCATTACAATCTTCACCCTCATTATTATTGTAATGGGCTCTGAAAGATGAGAAGCTGGAAAGGTAAAGGCCAGATTGCTGTGGAGAGGCTTTCAAGGTTTAAAAACATAAGACGGGGGCAAAAATGGGCAAGGCATATTTTTGAGACATAAATGAAAGTTATCTGATTAGAGGAGAAAGCAGAGAATAAATGATCTTTTGAGATAGGATGGGTCAAATAATGGGAGTCCTTGAAATTAATAGAAGCTTTTCAACACTGCTTACCATGAGCAGTTCCCTTCCTTAAAGAAATCTACCTTTGGTTTCTACCTGAAAGAACAAGTAAAAAAGACATTCATCTGATTTGAAATGGGCAACCACAAGGCTTTGGAAATAAGTGTGAAAATTCCTTTCATTTTTGAAGAAAAGGGGAAGTCGTTTTGACAGATTGTATTTAATGGATAAACAAAGAGATTAAGAGAGTAGATTTTAAATTGTGCTCTTTTTTTTTTGTTGTTGTTGTTGTTGTTGCTGCTGCTGTTGTTGTTTTACTAAATAAATAAATAGGGCAGCCCTGGGTTTAGTCCCCAGCACAAGCCAGAAAGAGAAAGAGAAGGCCAGCAAGGCTGAAGTTCAAAAGACCGCTAAGAGGTCAATGTCCATGTCAGGGCAGAAAGCAGGTGACAGCTCCATTCTTGGGCCACTCAGGGTTAACTTAGGTAGCAGGTTCTCTCCTCCACCCACCCATTCCGTCCTGGAAGCAACTACTAATACTCGACAACTTCTTCACTGAGTGTGAGAAGAAGTGAAAGTTCATCAGTTCCTGGCAACCCCGCCCCTCCGTCTTTTTCTGCTAACCCGCGGGGTGGTGGCGCAGGCGTTGACGCCACTGAAGAACCGCTGACTGAAGGCCCAGCTGGACGACCAGCTCCAGTTCCGGAGCGGTAAAGAACTCACCTTCTGCGCTGGAGCTCCAAATCCAGTGAGCTGCCAGCCCCGAGACAAACTTAAGTGGTTACGGCTTGATCTTTTCCCATTTCTTACCTTCACAGAGCCATAGGCTTTGGTTCTCAGCTTTGCTTAGCGTCAGCTACGGAGCAGAGTTCTATGCGCGCGCTGCTGGCTGATTGGATCTGCTCCTAGCCACCTCAGCCAATCCCGAAACTCGCTCGGATGCTGACGAGAGGGTTGCGCCGAGACTTTGGAATTGGTGCCGGAATTGTGTGTCGCACTTTTTCTGACGTTTCGCACAACATGGCGGCGGAAAGTGGGAGCGATTCGCAACTTAGAAGAAGAAGGCGCCGGGACCCAGAAGAGCCGGAAAAAACGGAATTGAGCGCTAGAGAGTTGGCAGTGGCAGTGACGGTGGCCCAAGAAAGCGATGAGGAGAATGAAGAGCGCTGGGTTGGGCCATTACCTGTGGAAGCAACATTGGCTAAAAAGCGGAAAGGTAGCTGCAGAGACAGACCGAGGGAGAATTGGAATGCTGCCTCTGCTGAGTGGGAGGGTTGAGTTCCACCAAGATTCTAAGAGGGATGGAGTGTGATTGTGGGGTATTGTACCCGCAGAATATCTCATTTCTGGCCACTCGGTACTTGAACATCCTCCTAGAACACTGATATGGGCTTAGTATTCCCTTTTTGATAATTTGGGATACTATTTGATCTCTGATATTTTTTATGATAGATGATAAAGCTAACATTTCCCTGAACTTGTTATGTACTTGGCACCTCTCATTTAATCCCCATAGCAGCTATATAAGGTCAGAATTCTAATTCTGAATAGCAAATGTGTGATTCTCCTGAAGTCTTTAGTTAGGTCTTGTTGGTAGGGGCTGGGGGTCAGGGAAGAAAGCGGTGCCTGTTTATAGAGTAATAAAGAGTAAGGAAAGAGAATTTCAACCTTAAGTTTTCTATTAATGAATTTTCAAACCTAGGGAAAGTTACTTAAACTTTCTGGATCACAGTATTTTTTCATCCAAAATGTGAGGTCTGTGGTTTTCAAATCATACTCTTGAGATGCCATAGACTGGAGTATTTTGACAGTAACACAGAATAATAACAAATTTTTTAAAATCAAATGAAATAGTGGAGAAAGGGATAGATTAAATTTTCTTGCGCTTCAAGTTTTTCTGTGAAATGTTTCCTTAAACATTTAATACAATGGAAATGTGGTCTAAGGTCAAATCTTATTTTTTTCACTCTACACTACTTAAAACTTTTCAGGAATTTTATTTTCAAAACAAAATCCAAACTCCCTAACATGACACATAAGGCCCTTTATGATATGATCTCTCTTTCCTGCCACCTACATCTCCCATTACTTTGCTCTCACAATCTCTTACTTTGTGCACCACTAGAGAATGGGACACTATTCTATATCTGTTCTGGATGCTGGTCTAGATTATCATTAGGGTCTTTACCTGAAATAATTGCTTTTACTTCTTTTACTGGGCAAAATTATGTTTCATGTTTAGCATTTGGATATTACCTCCTGGGAAGCCTGTGACTTTTCCAGTCTTAAAGGTTTCTAAAGCACATTGATCATAACTCGGAGGTAATGTTTATGGAACTGAGTTTACAGGTAGTCTTCAAATTTAACACATTGAAATTCCGAAGCAGCCACTTTTTTGAAACAAAGTGCATTCTTTTTTTAATGCCTGGTCCTCTGATAAATATTACTATAGCAACCATTTCCTTCACTGTTTCTTGCTACAATTTGTAATTATATATTTGTTCATGTAACTTTCTGATTAATGTTTCTCTCCACTGTTAAAACTAAACATGTAAAGAACAAGGATCAAGCTAGGCGCAGTGACTCAGTGGCTAGGGAGGCTGAGGTAGTAAGATCACAAGTCAAATTCAGCCTCAGCAATTTAGCAAGGCCCTAAGCAACATAGGAGACCCTATCTCTAAATGAAAAATAAAAAGGGCTGGGTTGTGGCTCAGTGGTTAAGCACCCCTGGGTTCAATCCCTGGTACCAAGAAAGAAAAAAAAAAAAAGAATAAGGACCATACCTCTTTTACTCCTGTGCTGGGTACAGTGCTTTGCATATGTGTTCCATAAATATATTTAGTAAATGAATATTGTAATGCTATGCTGTTTAATTATTTTACTTCATTTTAATGTTTTTTGCATGTTCTTTTTTAAGGAAAGGAATGGGGATAAATGGAAAAATCCAAAAATATTGAAATGCTGGGAATTTTTTGTTTGTTTGTTGATGTTTTGCTTTGTTTTGTACCATGGATTGAACTCAGGGGAACTTAACCATTGAGTCACATGCCCAAACCCCTTTTTTAAATTTTGGGGTTTTTTTAAAATTTTGAGACAGGATCTCACTGAGTTGTTTATGGCCTTGCTAAGTTGTTGAGGCTGGCTTTGAATTCGTGATCCTCCTGCCTCAGCTTCCCAAGCCCCTGGGATTACAGGTGTGTGCTGATACACCTGGCTGAAATGCTGGTATTACTGTTAGGAAATAAATATCTTACAATCTTAATATTCGAAACAGAGATGGAAATTATTAGGTGTGAAAATCTTTACCCTTAATCAGATGCATATTGTTTTTTATTAAATATTTTTTTAGTTGCCAATGGACTTTATTTATTTATATGTAGTGCTGAGAATCGAACCCAGTGCCTCACACATGCTAGGCAAACCTATACCACTGAGCCACAAACCCAGCCCTGCATGTTGTTTTTAAGCTAGCAATACTGCATTCAATTTGAATAAAAAATTTAAACTAAAAAGCATGTTAGAAATGTTAGAAAAGTATTGTTGAAAATTTTATGTAAAAGAACAGGTGTTTAATATTTGCTGTCTATAATTGAAGCCATCTCCTTTAAAATGTTCCTCAGACATTGGACTTGTATATATACACTATTGAAAAAAACATGAGATATGATTACATAATACTACCTTTAATTAAACTTTCTTAAGGACAGGAACTGTGTCTTAACTCTTCAAGTCCATATTCAGGAACCTATTTTGTTCTCAATATTTCTTCCAAAGGGTACAAACAACAACAAAATATGAATCAGATACAATTAAATTCTATGCCAAATAACAATGATATAACAATGAGGTGTACTTCTTTTATGTGTATAAGTCCCAAGGTTAGTAGTCCAGAATTGCTATGGAAGCTACAAAGACTGCTAGACTCTTTTCTAGCTTTCTGCCCTAAAATAACTAGGCTATCTCTGGCCTCATCTTCACTGTCATGAGTTGTTCTTAGAATTACAGCAGTAATATCCTGGTTCTATATTGTAGAACTGAGGAAGGGAAGAAGGGCACACTTCAAGACTTCCTGACTATCACAAAACACTCCCATTTTATCTCATTAGCATAGAGCCACCTGTCACTCCAAAACCACTCCCATTTTATCTCATTAGCATAGGGTTACCTGTTACTCCAAGGGAAGGTAAGAAAGAGGGTATATTATTTAATATAGGAAAATTTGATAGCTGGCCTCTTTAGCTCTAATAAGTTAACTAAGACATCTTGGAACTATCAAAGGACCATCCAAATGGATGAATGGAGGATTTGGAGGACAGTAATAGCAATAATATATTACTATATTGCTATAGCAATAATAGCAATCATCTTTGTAGCTAGATATCAGGAGGCCCATCTAAAAATATGGAATCTGTTACTAAAAATGAAGGGGAAAGTAGTTAGTTAGACAACTTTATATATAACAGGAATGAAAAACTAACATATATTCAATTTAGCAACTTTACATAGGCATGTTTGGCCATCATTGGATTATTTTATTTGGCATACATATTATGTCAATTTGGGCGGGAACTAGCAAAATTGTTTGTAGCTCATAATAAAGATTTCTTGCCATGACTCAATTTACCACTGTTATGAGTGTTTTGCCCCTGGCAAAAATCTGAGAAACACTCAAGTGGACATTTTCTGGGATTTTCTCAGTTCTAAAAATCTAAGCATTTTATTGTTTTTACATGTTTCAAATTCAGTATTAATGACTTCAAAGAGAATATGTGCCTTAAAAATGAACTGAGACATCTTACAGATAGCCATTAGTCTCTTATTTAAATTAGCATCTATAACTGGGATCTACATAGTTACAAAGATGGTTGTGATATTTTCAAGAAGCATTTTAAGTTGTTTAAGTTTTCTAATCTTTGGAACAGTTAAGCATCTGTATAATCCCTGGGAGTCGGTTATGATTAACCAAATAAATGTTAAAATAAGGGTTCTATGCCAGTGCTCCAAAATAATAAAAGTCATATATGACATAACAGACTTTGGATTGTTTTATTCTTACATGTGAATTGACAGAAATTAAAACATAGAATTTGGTATAAAATAGAATTTAGAAAATTCTAAATAAAAAGAAAAAAATGTTTAGTTTACTTTTGTTAAGTCACTTTTTTACTTTTTTTTTCCAGTTCTAGAGTTTGAAAGAGTGTATCTTGATAATCTCCCCAGTGCATCCATGTATGAGCGCAGTTACATGCATAGAGATGTTATTACCCATGTGGTATGCACCAAGTAAGTCATCTTTTAAAATATTTTTCTTAAAAGTTTATGTTTTTAGGGACTGGGATGGTAGCTCAGTGGCAGAGTGCTTACCTAGCATGTGTGAGGCACTGGGTTTGATTCTTAGCATCATGTATAAATAAATTAATAAATAAAATAAAGGTCCATTGACAATTTTAAAAACATTTTTTTAAAAAGTTTATGTTTTTAAAACAAATCTTCAATTTTGAGATGGATTTATAGAAGTAACTCTAGGATTTTACAGGCTTCTATTTAAATTCCTAAAGTTCTGTAATAGTTTAAGTTAAGTAAAGGTCTACATATTCTTTCCTATATCACACAAAGAATGCATTCTCTAAGACAGAATTCCCTGTTATGTGTGTATGTTTTTTGGAAATAAATGTCAAGAGGGGAATGAACCAGGTAGTGTCTGAGCTTCTCTGAAGAAGAGTGTATATTATTTAACAGGAAAATTTGATAGCTGGCCTCTTTAGCTCTAATAAGTTAACCAAGACATCTTGGAACTATCTCAAAGGACCTTCCAAATGGATGAATGGAGGATTTGGAGGATAATAATGGCAATAATGTTCCACTATTT